AACACTTTGGAGAATACTGTGGTAAGTTTCCTGATGACAAGTTGGAAACTACCTGCTTGGCTTATCCCGAATTAGAAAAAAGTCATTAACGACAGAGTTGTCTGTTATTTATGCACGGGATGATTGCCGAGATTTACATGGAACTCTGTCTCTTTTGAAACTCTTTATACAAAATTGTTTGGAGGAAACACTAAAATAAACAAAAAAGCTGTTAGAAATTATTGTTTCAACTCTTATGTCATCATCAGATGCTGAGCGAAATTTCGCAACATTGAAAAGAATCAAGACTTTTCTTCGTAATACTATGACCCAGGATCGCCTTACAGCGTTTTCGATGCTGTCCATTGAAGTAGAATTTATTTCGTCCATGGAAAATTTCAACGGGAAGGTGATCGACAAATCTGCTGCCAAGAAGGAGCGCAGGACCCAACTGACATATAAAAAATAGGTAAGTTCGGATTTGCAGAACACCTGCTTTAGTTTGCCACTGTTGTTCGCCTTGTTAGAAAAGAATATAAGACCCAAACAGTCTAGCCTCAAACTGGCGAAGCACAGCATCTGCGCATTTGGGCTACAACCAAACCGTTGAAAAATATGGGTCAAGTAGATTGACTCTATATATCCCACTCCTTCGAAACAGCTTCTAGAATTCTATTTTTGTATGTGTGTCCATTTGTTTTTCGTCACTTGTAATTAGATCTTGTATCTGTTGAGTAATATACCAATAAAATAAATAAAATAAACTGCATGGAGGTAATTTCTAGTAATTGAGAGCAGTTTCGTTGCCGTTTTCGCATGTGGACTTGAAATAAATTTCTTGCCCTTTATGGAACTGGAGAAAGCTGTCCGAACTGTCGACGCAAAATCCAAGCGAGTTATTATAAGTTTAATAAGTTTATGTGTATCTATGGCATCGTAGCTCCTAACGGTTGAACTGATTTAAGTGCGTTTTTTTATTGAAAGTTGAGTTTGTCGAGATGGTTTTTATCTATGCTTGATGACGATTTAGGTGAAAGGATTCAATTTGCAACTGACTAAATCGGAGTTTAAATGAAGTCGAATCATTCAAAAAGTAGACTCTTCTCCATCAGCTGTTGCATGCTGCCCTCTTATGCAAACCTTCATCCTGTGGCCTCCCAGAGTAGCTTTGCTGATGAGTGATTGACTTTCTCTCTGGCCGCAAGAGATCCGTCGTAATTGACGGTTTGCTTAGCAAATAACTTGAATGAAAGATTATTCCAAATTCGCGATATCTTAAGAATCAGCGACCTTACTATTAATAGTATATATACCTTGCTGATAATGTAATTCTGAGCGGTAAATTCCGCAGACAAAAATCTATGATTTAGGTGTGCGCGTATATAGCCTAATACCAGTGCTTAACGCCATTGTTTTAGATGCATTTATAGCTGGGACCGCTCTTTATTGATCTGGCACAAATGCCTCCAGAAACCGCAGAATACCGACCGAATTAAGTCAGCTACGTTCTAACAGCTATTCCAGAGGAATCACTGCCTCCTCTGCATGCTGTGGCAAACCGAGTTACTCGCAGATAGCATTTGCATTATACTGGGCGATATTCTATCTTACCACGCTGAAATCAATTTGCGTATTATGGCAGGATTACGGATGTGAAACCTGGACTTAGAATACTGCTATGGTTAACAAAATAGAGACATTTGAAATGCGACTTGTATTACTCCGATGCATTCAGTAAGCTGCTGTATTGGATCCGTCTCATGTCACTTATTCAAATTGAATTGAAACCTGTAAGATTAAAACAATCTGCTGTCCATGTTTCAGCTTAATGCATAGGAATTATCGGCGCTATAATTCGGTATATCGTACTGTTGCACTAACTTAGGCATTACTTCACCTATAATAAGAACACATAGGTCCTGCAATCAGTTATGCAAACCTGTATTATGTAATAGCATTATTAGCTTTAAGCGCAAATTAAGATCCAAGTTCTTGAATTAATAACTATTCCAGTCACCTTCCGTAACCAATACAGTATTTTTTTTTTAATTTTATAATTTCTCCGTAACACAGAGATATAATATATATATAATTGTAACACAGAGGGTGCGGCGAGTTTTCGACAGGTTTCAAAAACAGTTCCATGGTAATTACTAATATATACTAAGTGACATATAAATACGAACACCCAGTTTAAATGGTTTTATTTTATACGTAATAAAATGTTGTATAAGTACTTAATGAAGCATAATAAGTAAATGATAAAATTTCAAAATGATTGCACTGCTTTAAGGCCCCTTGACCTTTAATAATGTGTGGATGCACCCTGATGTGCTACGCATTCTCCAACGCGCCTAGGCATGCTTCTGATCAGGTGGTCAATGTCCTTCTGTGGTATCTCATTCCAGGCAACCACCAACTCCTCTCGAAGTGCTTCTAGAGTCTGAGGAGGACGTTGCAAATTGAGCAATCGCCTACCCATCATATCCCACACGTGCTCAATTGGGGATAAGTCGGGAGATCTTGGTGGCCATGGTAACAATGTGACATCATTATGTTGAAAGAAGTCTATTGTGACTCTTGCAACATGTGGTCGGGCATTATCTTGTTAGAAAGTTGGATCTGCCAGGGTGTCAAGATAGGGTAAAAGATGGGGTTCTAGAACTTCGTGGATATAACGCTGCGCGTTCATGTTACCTCTGATGAAGATTAAAGGTGACCTGGAACCATAAGCTATAGCACCCCAAACCATAACTCCAACAGTGTGATGAACATGTCTTTCAACAAAAAACTGTGGATTCCTCCTTTCACCACGTCGCCTTCTAACCCTGGCACGACCACCGTGCATGCCTTAACAAAATCGAGACTCGTCACTAAAGACAATACTGTTCCATTCCTGATCCCAGAGTGACCGTTGTCTGCACCACTCAAGGCGATTACGTCGGTGTTCTCGAGTTTAAAGAGAGGACCCAGTGTGGCCGGTATGAAAACAAGCCAAAACTTCTCATTCGTCGGTAAACACTGCGCATGCCAATAGGTCTTCCGTGTTCTGCAAACCATTCATTTGCAATGGACCTGGTAGTGGAGAAACGGTCCCTTAAGGCCAATAATCTTAGGCGGCGATCTTCACGGTCTGTTGTTCTACGGCGGCGTCCAGTGCCCCTTGCTCTTTGCGTACGGCCTTCTAGAAGCCATGCCTTTCAACAGCTAACCACTGTGTCTACACTTCTTTGCACTCTAACTGCAATTTCCCGAAAAGAAAGTCCAGCTTCCCGAAGTCCCACTATACGGCCCCTATCAAACACACTAAGTTGACGAAATCGTACAGGTCTCCGTACTCTAGGCATCGTAACCGATCGTAAAGGATGTCCAGAACCAAAATCCGTCAAAGTTGATTCTTTGCTGCGGCTGAAATATTCATTTTTAGAGCGTTAGTGAATTAAAAAAAAGCAGTATAAAAACCGGAATGTCCAACTGATAAGGCTGAACATTTTTTCACTTACAGTAAGATAAATACATTCACCAACTTTTATTAAAATAAAACCATTTAAACTGGGTGTTCGGATTTATATGTCCCTTAGTATACATTAAAAACAAGACATGGGTAAATCTGTTGTCAAGCATATCATTTGCTTACGATAAAGAAGTGTCAATTAGATGGTAGTGCCTAGAGTGCTAAATGACTTTGAGAGGGGTCGAATTGTCAGATTGCTTGAAGCTGGTCTATCGATAAGAGAAGTTTCTAGGAGGACCAACAGATTCTTACGCAGTATACTGGAGTGTAAATGAGCGTTAGCTCAGGAGGGCCGAGGACAGCGAGCGAGGAGTTCTGGACGTCTCAGACAACAGAACAAGGCCGCCTGTTAAGACTCCTCGCTTTGAGAGACAGATTCAGTAGTACTCGAGCCATCGCTAATCAGTGGTTTGAAGAGCATGGAAGGATGGTTGGTATGCGTATGGTATATCTCCGAATACGACAGTTTGACCTTGTTTCTTGTCGCCCACATTGGATGCTACCTCTCACAGCTGAACATCGGCCTAACCGTTTGCTCTGGTGTAGAGAAGGAATTCTATGGGTCCGGGAATGGAATCAGGTGGTCGTTAGTGACGAATCCGGCTTTTGTCTGGGGATGCACGATGATCGGGCAAGAGTGAGAAGGGGACGTGGAGAAAGACATGACCCTCAATTTGACAGAGAGCGTCACGTTCACCACACTGTGGGAGTTATGGTATTGGGTGCCATTGCTTATGGTAGCAGATCACCACTAATTTTCATCAGAGGCAATATGACAGCCCAACGCTATATTCAGGAAGTAGTAGAGCGTCATCTTTTTCCCTACCTGAACACCATCCAACGCCCAATTCTGCAGTACCTGGAATGAGATACTCCAACAGGACATCGACCACCTTATCAGCACGATGCCCAGGCGTGTCAATGAGTGTATAAGAGATCGTGGAGCCTCAACACATTATTGAACCAGCTTCTGCAATCAGTTGACGAATCAAGCTCAAAATTTTAACATTGTACTATTAAGGGACGCTGAACATAAATGCCAAAAATTATTAAAATCTGATAAACATACGTAGGTGTTTACATTTTGTTGTCACTTAGTATATAAAAAAGCGCTGAAGTCATCATAGCTTATTATCAGATAATGGATAACATCTTCACAAAGAAACGAAATGACCAAAACAAGAACAAGGAGAAGACTGTGATGAATCCCACAACAGTTTATGGGAATCACCGGAAAGATATCGCAGACCGTAGTGATGGCCAGACTAGATACAATACGCGAAGTCGCGAAACGCGGTACCGGTTCGGAAATTAAGTAAGTGTTAGAGTTTCTGATAGCTGAAAGATTATTAAAAATATTCAAAACCGATCTCAAAAATCACCATAAATTTGCCATTTTTCAAAGAGATTATTCATGAACTTGGCAACACTGGGGAAGGGCATCGCTGTAAAGCTGGTTTCCCCATCCTTCCCTAGTGGTTCCGCTGCGCTGCGATATATAGTCGCGTCATAAAAAAGGAGGCTCATTTCCTTCCGTACAAACCCTGTATACCTGTTTTCGCACAGGCACATCTTCCGATGGAATATGTTCATCAATGGTGTAATGTATATGATGTGTTAATGTGAGTTTCGATATACAAACCTTGTACTTGGAGAGCTTGGCCGAAGCTTCTAAGTCTAATCCTTCTTTGAATACGAGCCTGCCAACAACCCCGTTCTCATCAAAATCTTCGATAGGAGTGTAAATCTTGTACGAGTAGTGGAAGTCGAGGACATTAGCATAATGCCAAACCCCAGAAAATCCTAGTAATAGAAAGTTCCAGCCCACTCGGAAGTCTGCCTGAAAAGATCATTTGTTTTATTTAGTTTGCATTTCTCGAAAACTTCACGGAAAAATACTAACTATATTTTAATGACGTTAATAGAAATATTCCCTGCAGAATATAGAAGTATACGGAATGTACAAATGCTTAGACGTTATTTCACTTAAGGCCTCCTTAATGTGAGGGCGCCTTAGTTTTCTTGAAAATGAGCTATTGTTTTTTATACAGGGTGTCCCAGAAGTCGACGTCAAGCCGAAACCGGGTGGATAGGCAAAGTCATAACAGCTATCAGAAAAATATTTAAAAAAGTTTATGTATGTGTTTTGAAAATTATAGGTCTTTGAAAAAAATATAGAAATTTCACACCCTATGGTAGTCTGACAACTCCTGTTACTACAAATATTAACTTTTTTTGGATTTTATTTTTACAATGTAATGATGAATAATGCATCTTCAAACTGGTGTCTCAACCTTACTGCCAACTTTTCTCGTTCAGGAAAAATTGCCACTTATTTCCCAATCAAGTACTCCATAGTAAAACTTTGCTCAACTTTAACTGGCTGTACTGGAAAAAAATGTACTACGAGAGTTTGGCAAGTAACCTTAAAAGTTGGCGCATTTAATAAGGATTCCAAAATGGTATAACACTTAGAAGATTACTCGTTAACTTATGCACAATTTTTATTTGAAAAAAAACTGATGAAAATTTTTCAAAATTTCCTAATTAAACAGCGATTATGAAAACGCACAAGGACCCTTAAGGATAACTGTTTGCACAACAGTGGGCGTCAAAATGCTGCTGATGATGATTTACCTTTACAGCAAATGCTCAAACTGAAAAGATCGGGTTATTAAACGAGCGAATCCACGGTTATTAGCAAACTCAGTTGCTTCCAATAGTCTTTGCCGTAGCTCAGCTACATTTTGAATCGGCTTGAAATACACTTTTTCTTTTACAGTTCCCCAGTAAAAAAAATCTAACGGATTCAAATCTGGTGACCGAGCTGGCCACGGTATTGTACCAGACCGCCCTATCCATCTGCCTGGAAAGTTTTGATCGAGATACTCTCTCACTGAGAGTGCATAGTTTGCTGGGCAGCCATCATGCTGAAACCACATGTCCCTATAAATACTCAGTGGCATGTCCTCCAATAAATTTTCTAAATGATTTTGCAAAAAACCTAAATAAACCTCAGCAGTCAAAGTCTCTGGGAACTCAAACGGACCGATTATTTTACCATTTAAAATTCCTGTCCAATGGTTTATCTTGAAGCGATATTGAGATTTATCTTCTCTCATCAAATGTGGGTTTGCTACGTGCCACTCGTGTAAGTTATGCAGGTTCATGTACCCATCTTTCTTAAATGAGGTCTCATCTGACCATAAAATTTTTTCAAAGAACCGTGGATCTTCCCTGTGTCTTTCTAACATTGTGCGACAAAAAGCAACTCGGGGCTCATAATCCCGGGGCAGAAGAGCTTGAACACGCTGTACGTGGTATGGATGGAGCACGTTTTTTTGCAAGATTCTATGGGCTGTACTTTTGGGCACACCTGTTTTTAGTTCTATTGCACGCACTGAAGTACTCGGGTCTTCTTCGACAGCTCCTAGCACCACGTCTTCGTAAGGAAGGAAAGATCTATAATTTTCAAAACACATACATAAAATTTTTTTAAATATTTTTCTGATAGCTTGACTTTGCCTATCACCCGGTTTCCATGAAATTTCCACACAAGGTTACTGCTATGTCAAGGACGAAAATACAATGTGGTTTTTGAAAATCGGTTTAGTGGCCGCGGAACTTTGGGGAAAAGAAAAAAAAACAGATCTCTCAAACCTCGTTTGTTAACTTTTCTAGAAAATTTTTTGTAGGGAAGAGTTTTAGCATGTTATTATATTTATGTAATCCCAACCTCAATAGTTTTACGAACCTATTAGAATGAATGATAGAGAAATGTTTTCGATACTTGTCGCTGCTTCTGCTCTGTAGGTTCACCGACAGGCGTGTCAGTCGCGATGTTTCCTGTCATTATGCCACGGTTGATGCGTCGTGTGATCAAGTATAGAGAAGGGGCGACGTTGCCAGATAGTAGTACCGATAGGGCAGGGAAAGAATGCCTATGGGCCTGTTTGACAGATATCCAAAATATTGATCCATACTTTGCTAAATTGAACTTACCTCTTCGGGTTTGAGCTTAGCAGCAACAATGATATCTTGCAAGAATTCTACAGGCGTCGCAAGATGAAACTTCGTATCAAAATCGCCAAGACTGTGTACCAAAAAGATGACCTCGGTTCCAAAACTTCCTGTAGGATATGTCAGCATAGCAATGAATGTCCTTTGCTCCGCAGAAATTACAAACCTCAACTTGTACTCGCTTTCTGGTGCAGTTAGGTTAACCATCAACATGCAATTAGTAAGTTTTTTAAATCTTCCTTCCATGTCAATGCTCATTTTTTTATGGTCGATATCGAGTTGGCCGTATCCTTTCATATAGTTATCCTTTATAGATATCTTTCCTACTAGCACGCCATTGGCTAATCCCTTGAATGGGGTTCTTGAGTGAATTGTGCCTGTTAGATTGGACGTCTGGTTGTCGGATTCTATCCGCCATTGACTGTCAAGCCCGATCACAAACTCGGGATTATACTGCAAGGAACGTTTATATTATACAGGATATTGAAACAAGTATCTCAGATAATATACTATGTGACATATAAATCCGAACACCCAGTTTAAATGGTTTTATTTTAATAAAATTTTGTATAAGTACTTAATGAAGCATAATAAGTAAATGATAAAAATTTCAAAATGATTGCACTGCTTTAAAGCACTTTGACCTTTAATAATGTGTGGATGCACCCTGATGTGCTACGCATTCTCCAACGCGCCTAGGCATGCTTCTGATCAGGTGGTCAATGTCCTCCTGTGGTATCTCATTCCAGGCAACCACCAACTCCTCTCGAAGTGCTACTAGAGTCTGAGGAGGACGTTGCAAATTGAGCAATCTCCTACCCATCATATCCCACACGTGCTCAATTGGGGATAAGTCGGGAGAGATCTTGGTGGCCATAATAACAATGTGACATCATTATGTTGAAAGAAGTCTATTGTGACTCTTGCAACATGTGGTCGGGCATTATCTTGTTGGAAAGTTGGATCTTCCAGGGTGTCAAGCTAAGGTAAAAGATGGGGTTCTAGAACTTCGTTGATATAACGCTGCGCGTTCATGTTACCTCTGATGAAGATTAAAGGTGACCTGGAACCATAAGCTATAGCACCCCAAACCATAACTCCAACAGTGTGATGAACATGTCTTTCAACAAAAAAACTGTGGATTCCTCCTTTCACCATGTCGCCTTCTAACCCTGGCACGACCATCGTGCATGCCTAAACAAAATCGAGACTCGTCACTAAAGACAATACTGTTCCATTCCTGATCCCAGAGTGACCGTTGTCTGCACCACTCAAGGCGATTACGTCGGTGTTCTCGAGTTAAAGGGAGGACCCAGTGTGGCCGGTATGAAAACAAGCCAAAACTTCTCATTCGTCGATAAACACTTCGCATGCCAATAGGTCTTCCGTGTTCTGCAAACCATTCATTTGCAATGGACCTGGTAGTGGAGACACGGTCCCTTAAGGCCAATAATCTTAGGCGGCGATCTTCACGGTCTGTTGTTCTACGGCGGCGTCCAGTGCCCCTTGCTCTTTGCGTACGGCCTTCTCGAAGCCATGCCTGACAACACCTAACCACAGTGTCTACACTTCTTTGCACTCTAACTGCAATTGCCCGAAAAGAAAGTCCAGCTTCCGAAGTCCCACTATACGGCCCCTATCAAACTCACTAAGTTGACGAAATCGTACAGGTCTCCGTACTCTAGGCATCGTAACCGATCGTAAAGGATGTCAAGAACCAAAATCCGCCAACGTTGATTCTTTACTGCGGCTGAAATATTCATTTTTAGAGCGTTAGTGAATTAAGAAAAAGCAGTATAAAAACCGGAATGTCCAACTGATAAGGCTGAAAATTTGTTCACTTGTTATTTACAGTAAGATAAATACATTCACCAACTTTTATTAAAATAAAACCATTTAAACTGGGTGTTCGGATTTATATGTCACTTAGTATATAATAACTTTGATTTAAGTTACTTGTTCAGCTTATTTTCTCGTCCCACCCGAACAGTACTAATGATTCCCATTAAGGATGAAACATACCTTACATGATCTGCTGGACATCGAAGGCCATATAGTCTCAACAAGAGCTCCGGATTTGATTTTGACGTAATTTTTTTGTACAAATGGTATGGTGTTTACTTGATGACAGTTGTCATGTCCAGACCACGCGGTTAGACGTCATCGAGCAGTATTCAAACGAGCAACGTTTAATTATTGTGACAACTCACTACAAAATGCGGAAACAGTTCGCAAATTACGTACAATTTTCGGTCTCAATAATACGCCAAATGAGTCGACATTTCGCCGTTTAATTACAAAATTTTAGACAAAATTCACGTTGCTGAATGTGCAGACTACTGCTGGACGCCGTCCTGGTTGGTCCCTCGAAAATATACAGGGTTTGTCCGGAAAGTAATAGGACTGAGTCGATTTAAAAAAATGTATTGAGCCAATCGTTACAATTCTTTAAAAACATTCAAAATAGGCTCCTTCTGCGTCGATGCAGCACTCCGAAATAGCCTTGAGAGCCGCGGTGCATGCTGCTTGGATCCCCTCTGTCGTCTCAAAATGCTTGCCTTTCATCGACCTTTTCAGGCGAGGAAAGGTAAGTCCGGAGGGGGGGCACATCTGGTCTGTAGGGCGGCTGCGGAAGCGTTGGGATGCCGGCCTTGGTCAGGTAGCTGTTCACAAGAAAGGCGGTGTGAGCCGGGGCGTTGTCGTGGTGCAACTTGTGTTACTGCGGACCAGGTTTCCAGACCGTGTCATCTCTCGGTTTGGCGATCAAAATTGGCCACCAAGATCGTGCGATCTAACGCCAATGGACTTCTTCCTCCGAGGCTATGTGAAGGAAAAGGTGTATGCGAACAATTTAACGCCTTAAAGAAGGGATATGGCGCGTAGTCGACGAAATAGAACCACAGTTGTGCGAAAACGTTATCTAGAATTTTAAGAAAAGACTGACCCTGTACCAGAGGTTTCGTGGTGGCCATTTACCGGATTTTCTATTTCATGTTTAATCGCCACTGTTTCTCTTCGTGTTGAAATATAAATACTCGCGTAATTCGAAAAGAAATTGTGTTTTACTTGAAAATCAAATCCGGCGCTCTTATTGAGACACTCTTTACATTTTTTCCAAAGTAGAACATATCAAATCCATAAATCGTAATTGACAACGAGGCTTGCTGAGAAGACGTACAGCAAGCCTAATTAAATCTAGGATCAGTCATCCTGGCTGATTACCCCTATTTCAATACGAAATATCGACAGGTATAGAGTACATTTTATTCATGTTAACATGGAACTTACCATTAAAAACAAATTGGTATCGAAATTAGTATCGTTCTGTCTGTGGCTGACAGTCGTATTTATATTTGGCACGCGATCAATCGAACTTGCAATCGAGCAGCTGTATTTGCAAGTAAAATACGAGCCTGTGGACGTATAATCACCAAAAATATCCACTGCTACTCTTTCCCTTTTGTTCCATGACATGACACCATGGATATCGTATTTGTTGCCCTCGTGATCGAATCTGAAATGAAAAATGAAAATATGACACAACTCAAGCATTGGTATAAGTAACACCGGAGTTAAGAAAGTCGAGCAAATTTATACAAACTCACACGAGAGAACAATCAAGACACATTCTGGTGAAACAGCCGAATTAAGAAAGTTTCTCCAATTCTTTCTCGTTGCACCAGACCGCCTCGTAGGCACCCACCACGGTACCACCGTGTAAGTACAGTAACCTGTAACTTTCGTACCTGTATGTTCTCTCAAGCTGTCAAAAACAGTTGCTCAATTTCGTTTATTTAATTGTCCTATAAATGGTGGAACTGATGGTCAATAAACGCTATTATTATATATTTGTTGTCTCAAAAATAAGGTTGTCAACGCTGTATCCTTGCCGCGCGTGATGCTAGGTGAAATCCCAACAAGAAGCGTCTATTTGCGATACTCAGTGGTGGTCCGACAGTCATGCTCAATGTAGCCCTTCATCGCCGTCACCGCCAGATGCGAAATTTGTGCTCTCATCCGATTTTTACACGCAAAAACGTTACCACCCATTTCCAAAATTGAAGGAGCACCTAGACGGTCAACGGTTCGAGATGGACGAGGAGTGGCAAGAAGCAGTTACCAAGTTTCTAAACATGCTAGCCGCGAACTTCCTTGAATGCAAAAGTGTATTTCACGTCTAAATGCATATAGGAAATGGCGACTATGGAGCAAAATAGCTTCCAATGGTGAATTCGTTTTTTGAAATAAAAAATTCCGTGTAACTGAAAAAATGTCGGAGCCTTATTTTTGAAACAATCCTCGTATGTTGACTCTACTCTCTCACACTGAGCGGATAGCATGAACCATCAGTGTTGCCATTTATACTTCCTATGTTTTTCTATATTTTTTGAAGTATATCTTACCTTCCATCCAGCGTCATTTTTTTCCAATGGTCAAATGGGGTAAGAACTTTCGAAGTAAATTGTAGGAACCATTTCGTTTCAAAATCGTACAGTATGTCCACGTCTATGTTGAATACACCAGTGTCCCATTCCAGGTAAGCCAACGTATTTATCCGTCCCTCTGCAAATTAAAATGAAGAAGGTTGAATCACGAGTTTCCCAGGAATTCATAAACAGCTACATGTAAACATTCCGTGAAAAGTTCCATTGCATTCTACATATTGGTATATATTGCTCTGTATTGCTGACATTACAATAAGATTAGTTATAAAATGAACCAATAAATGCTTTGATAATATATAGGGTGTAAAATTAGTAGTCTATCAACGGAAGTCAGGTGATAGGGGGCATCAAAACCTATCGAATAAATCCCCATATGTGAGGTCCAAAATGTTATAGTTCAAGAGATATTTGCAATTTTTTAAAATTTCGAAAAAACGGGCTAATGAACTTTCAATCGCAATTACAACTAAACCATTGGGTTTAGGGCTGTGATTTTTTTTCTGAAATGAGCTAAATGGTTACTTTTATCAATGGTCATGTCACTTTTTAACAGAGCTTTTCAGAAATCAACGCAAAGAATCTTAAATTAATTTTTTGTGAGGAATCTCTTACATCCCACAACTTTGGAGGGCGGTAAAAAAAATTGAGATTATTAATTTTTTTGTAACAACTATTTCAATCGCTGTAGAATAAACCCTAAAATTTTAGCTTGCTACGATGAGTTTATCGTGACACATTCGTTGTTGTGACGCGATAAACGTAAGAAACGCAGTAGAATGCTTACCACCTACAAGTTCAGAACCTATTGTGTTTAGCCGTTCTTAATGGCGATTTACCGACAAATGTGGCAGATAATTTAAGCTAAATAACTTTTAAAGAACATGTTCGAAATGGCCTCCATTATTTTCTATACACAAGCGACACCTTCTAATAAAATTGTCGTTTAGTCTTTGAAATGAATTTGCGTTTTCCATAACTTTTGTTTTTGCTTCACCAATTTTCTGGTGCAATTGGTTGACATTTGTATATGTAGATGTATAGGTTATCCCCTTATAAGACCCCCATATAAAAAAAATCTAGAGGATATAAATAGGGTGACCTTGGAGGCCATATTATGTGTCCACCTCTACCTATCCAACGCCGAGGAATGGTACTGTCTAAGTAATGCCGGACATCCCGTGCAAAGTGGCATGGGGCACCATCGCATTGAAAATGTGGCTTCGAACGTCCAATGGTACATATTCTAGCTGCTCATGCAAACTGCTTTGTAGAAAAGCAAGATATGACTGACCATTTAACCTGGTGGGCAATTCATATGGTCCAAATAATTTTTTGCTGAGTACTTCACCCCATAAATTAACGCCGAACTGACGTTGAAAGATGTGTCGGCGAATAGCGTGTGGATTTTTCACGCTCCATGAATGGAAATTGTGCATGCTGAATATTCCATTTCGAAAAAAGTTGGATTCATCTGTCCATAAGATGCCTGTCGAAAAAAGCTTTATCCTGTTGGCACCTTCTCAACATATTCTCACTAATTCAACCCTCGGCTGCTTCTATTATATCTTCTATTTCTTCTGGGCGTATCCTCGGCGCCCCTAGCTGACGATGAGTGGCGTAGAAAAACGCGGTAGTCGAGGTATACCGCCGGTTGTGGTACACCTCTTTTAACCACATACTCCCGATATATGCGAGCAGCTGCTCAAGCATTTCCTAGGGCAGCACCATAATAGTAATGCATTTCTGCATAGTCTCGCGGAGACTATGACATGATTCTACTCAGATGCCAAACGTTAGATACAAATTCCGCGCTGGACCATTGCCTGTCGGTCCGAAGATTGAACCTTCCCGCACCTAGAATGCCGAGTTGAATTAAGCTGATTTGCCTAATTGCGTAAAAAAATCCGCCATTTTGATTTTACAAAATGTTAATATGCACAGTATCACTTGCATTGCTGGGACGAATCTAACAGTACCTCATATGTCAAAATCCATCAAGTCATTTGGACGGTAGCTCGTAAATTAGCATTTCTTGTTTACCCACCTGCGACAAATATACATAATTTTTAAGGTGGGGCACTTATCTTAGCAAGCTGACATTCTCAGGGCTTATTCTGCGAGCACATGGATTGAAATAGTTTTTACAATAAAATGAATAATAAAATACAACCTCAATTTTTTACCGCCCTCCAAAGTTGAGGGATGGTAGAGATATTTCACAAAAAAATGAATTTAAGATTTTTGCGTTGATTTCTAATTAGGTCTCCAAAAAAGTGGCACACGCATTGCCAAAACTAACTATTTAGCTCACCTCAAAAAAAATCACAGCCCTAAACCTAATGCTTTAGTTGTAATTGCGATCGAAAGTGCATTATCCCGTTTTTTTCGTAATCTCACAAAATTGCAAGAATGTCCTGAACTATAAAATTTCGCACAACACATATAGGGATTCATTCGATATGTTTTGAGGCCCTCTATCACCTGACTTCCGTTGATCCACTACTAACTTTACACCCTGTATAGCTGGAATGTAAAATACGTATGTCAATATTTAATGCTGATCAAAAAGTTCTCCTTATCTGAGTAAAGTATCATGTTGCATGTGATGAGTGACTTAGTAGTATTTTTTCTTCTTAGTTGATAATAGATATTTTAACTTATCAAACACAGTATATCAATGTATAATTTTCTCTTATTTCAAGTCCAATGTGAGAATAGTGCTGGAACTAACGAGTGACCGCAGGCATTTAATTTTTTACCTCAAACATGACTTCAGGAGACCTTATGATTGTTCACGGTCATATTTAAATTAGACGTTTCAATTTACCTAACTATAGGTGTAAGTTTCATTTCATAGCTATCGATTACGAAAGTTGATTTTTTGCACAGAAAAGTTACTTACTTTTCTCCTAATAATATGATGTATATCATCCATGAGATCAGATAAATATAGAATGAGAATGAGAGAATATATACGATAGTGGTCATTTTTACCACACTTGAAACAATTTAGTTTTCAACTACCTTATTTGGTAAAAAAATGATTCAGACGGGAATATAAGTCCAACCATGCTTATAATACGAGGGTTGTTTCAAAAGTAGGGTTCCCACATTTTTCTTTTTAATCACAAGGATTTTTCTGTTTGACAAAAACGAATTCACCAAAGTAAAAGTTGATCTTCAAGCTGCTTTTCTCCATGGTCGCCATGTTTTTAGATGCGAAATCCACAACTCCTCGTCCGTCTCGAAGCGTTGACCGCCTAGGTGCTTCTTCAATTTGGTAAACGCTGTGTCAGAGCTGTAAGGGGGTAGGCAATGATGTCCGGCCAAATATCTCGATTAATCGTTTGTTGTGAGACATGATGATGCGCATTGTTGCGGTGCAGTCTTACGCTTGCCCTACGACGATTTTGGATTGATTGTCTCAGCTTTTTCAGAGCAAGCAAGATTTGCTCAATCTTCGTCATCACCTCCATTGGAGATCGTCGGCCTCCTGCTTCATCACTTGAAGACATGTTGAATGCTTATCCACGTTTCCTATATACTTACAACGTGCACAAATCGGATGACCTCACAAATTGTGACGGCGATGAAGGTCGCCATTACGCATAGCTGTGAGATTGGTACTAAACGTCGCCAATAGGTACTTCTTGTGAGGATAGGTGGTGGAGGAGCCAACAAAAGCGACGGTGTTGCCAGATTTCGCCTAGCATCACGTTCGGCAAATTTACAGCGTTGGGTACCTTATTTTTGGAACAACCCTCGTATTTGGTAATAAAAATCGTTAAAAAGATTTCGATGGAAATATAAGACCAACCAATGCTTGAGTCGCTGGAACCGATTCCTGAGTCCGTCCAGTCTGACAAGTTTCGATATGCCTTTCATTATCACAAAAATATTATCACACACCTCTTTAAATACGAGGGATGTCTTCTAAGTTTTGCATATAGTAACGTAGTAGGCCGCGCGGATCGTATGTCAGTATTGAATCTTAACCTCACTCTTTAGTAAACTTAAATTCAAAGTTTCACAACAATACGTGCAGTGTTCTCACTACAGTGAATTTTTAAGTGTCACCAAGTCATTGGAAAAATGGAACTCAAGCGAGAACATTTTCGCGCCATAATTAATTCCAACTTTCAGAGACAATTATCGCAACAAGAATGCCTTGCTGAGTTACGGTCTGTTTTCGGCAACGAAGCGCCACATCAGTCGACAATTTCCCGTTGGTATGGAGAATTCAAACGTGGACGGGTTGACGTGTTGTTTTATTTCCATATGCAAAACTTAAAAGACATCCCTCGTAGCAACTCAGCTATTTGTACGTTACAAATTGAGAAACCTTATGACAAGTCTACGCATAAGATGGACTTATCCCAAGTTACTGCAATGGATTCTATATTAGTAGCAATGCTTTACTTAAGATAATTGCTACTATTACCAGCTACATATATATTTGAAAGTAGAGACTTACTCTGGAGTAGGAAACGGTAGTCTCCCTTTACAAATTTTCCAGGATATACAATCATAAAATTGGCCACATGATCATAAGCAGCATTTTTCTTGTAACTTCCTTTAAACACCAAATTTTGACTAGGATCCCTGTTAGCGTCCCAATGAATTTCAAGGCCCACCGATTTATCATTCTCTCTGTTGTAGATGTAGACCGAAAATCAATGTCTCGGATTCTGGAAAAATAAATAGCGGTCAAAAAAAAATAGCCAGCCGATCGACATGAACATTATAAATCTGGCACGTAAGCGCAAGTACTATTTCATCATGGCGGCACTCTTTTCAGTACCTACTGTAACTGCTCAAACATCGCTGCTATGTACTATCTAGCCAAAGCTGACTGAATTATACTTAGTATCTTTTGAGTTCTTCAAGTTCTTTAATATCAATATTGATTAGTATTTATATTTTGAATATCTCATACATAGGGACTAGAACGAAAATATGAGTATATTTGTTTGAAATGAATAGCGTCAAGTAGGTTACATCAGTATTTTCTGCGATGCGGTTAAAAAAAATAGCCAGCCGATCGACATGAACATTATAAATCTGGCACGTAAGCGCAAGTACTGTTTCATCATGGCGGCACTCTTTTCAGTACCTACTGTAACTGCTCAAACATCGCTGCTATGTACTATCTAGCCAAAGCTGACTGAATTATACTTAGTATCTTTTGAGTTCTTGAAGTTCTTTAATATCAATATTGATTAGTATTTATATTTTGAATATCTTATACATAGAGACTAGAACGAAAATGTGGGTATATTTGTTTTGAAATGAATAGCGTCAAGTAGGTTACATCAGTATTTTCTGTGATGCGGTTAAAAAAAATAGCCAGCCGATCGACATGAACATTACTGTAACTGCTCAAACATCGCTGCTATGTACTATCTAGCCAAAGCTGACTGAATTATACTTAGTATCTTTTGAGTTCTTCAAGCTCTTTAATATCAATATTGATTAGTACTTATATTTGGAATATCTTATACATAGAGACTAGAACGAAAATGTGAGTATATTTGTTTTGAAATGAATAGCGTCAAGTAGGTTACATCAGTATTTTCTGTGATGCGGTCAAAAAAAATAGCCAGCCGATCGACTTGAACATTATAAATCTGGCACGTAAGCGCAAGTACTGTTTCATCATGGCGGCACTCTTTTCAGTACCTATTGTAACTGCTCAAACATCGCTGCTATGTACTATCTAGCCAAAGCTGACTGAATTATACTTAGTATCTTTTGAGTTCTTCAAGTTCTTTAATATCAATATTGATTAGCACTTATATTTTGAATATCTTATACATAGAGACTAGAACGAAAATGTGGGTATATTTGTTTTGAAATGAATAGCGTCAAGTAGGTTACATCAGTATTTTCTGTGATGCGGTTAAAAAAAATAGCCAGCCGATCGACATGAACATTATAAATCTGGCACGTAAGCGCAAGTACTGTTTCATCATGGCGGCACTCTTTTCAGTACCTACTGTAACTGCTCAATCATCGCTGCTATGTACTATCTAGCCAAAGCTGACTGAATTATACTTAGTATCTTTTGAGTTCTTCAAGTTCTTTAATATCAATATTGATTAGTACTTATATTTTGAATATCTTATACATAGAGAGACTAGAACGAAAATGTGAGTATATTTATTTTGAAATGAATAGCGTCAAGTAGGTTACATCAATATTTTCTGTGATGCGTAGCCTTCTAAATTATAGCAACCCATAAATAACGATTTGTAGCCGAGTCTTAGGTAGGAATTACCCTGTACAAGAGCGAAAAGTACGCTGAGAGAACTTCCGTCAAAGTTTTGATCGATCTTAACGTGTGAAACAACTTCCTAGCATTGAAAAACTAATCACACAATACTAGCGAGATTAACTTACTGATCGATATGAAGTTCGGCGTCTATCCGCTTGTATTCGCCATCATATACTCGACTCTCGAACGAATACAGCTTGTTCTTGTTTTTGAGCTTTGCTTGAGTTTTCACCTCCACATCAGATACTGCCTGATGGTGGAAGTAGAGTTGGTATTCGTCACTATTATTTGAGAGCGCCTGCAACAAGTAAACATCAGGAAATAAGGCTTTTTAGGTTAAATCTCATAAACAATATTTCTATTCTTCTAGACAACCAACGCATGACTATTCGTTCTAAAAGCTTTATCTTCTCAGGCAGAATGTATAGATTTGGTGCAAACTCTAAGTAAGCCATTCGACTCTGTCCATATTTCATTTCAGAGATTTACTAAATGGCTGCCTCATAACACTGCATATTAAACAGATTTTTTGTATACCGAAGCAGCCGCGCAGGCAGAAGTCTAAATGCCGGGACACCGCGGCTGCTATGATGATCGATAAGGAATTTTGTTAATTCGAATTTTGAACTGCGAAAGGTTAGTAGGACTGGGAAAAGCTTCCTCTTGTAGATTGTTCCACAATCTCGATACCCTCGGGACAAAGGGGCGGTCGTATCGGCCAGTTCTGGACGTACGAAGTTCGACACGGTTTGGATGGGAGCCCAAAGTCAGGCGGGTCTGTCTGGAAGGCACATCGCGCGACAGCATCATGGAAGAGAGCTCTGAGGAGCAAAGCCCATTGGTGTAGCAGTAGGAGAGAGCTAGATCGCCGACGGCCCGCCGGTTCGAAAGGGTCCCGAGAATGTTGGAGTTGGCAGAGGTCTTGGCAAGCACTTCCGCCTTGGCCTTTGAGCTGAATACAACCGTTCCATCCTGACGTAAGTAGTGGAAGGCTACTGTGTAAGAATTTTTTTTATCTGCTTGGCCAGCATCCAGAAAGACCGATTGCCATTGCGCTGCGAATTACCCTGTGCCTAACTTTTATATCGTTCTGGTTTTTGGCATTGCAAACCGATTTGTTATATTTGTTTCTGGACTCGACGTCGGCTCTGTTCTCTACAGTGGGGTTTTGTCTGGATCTTCTGCTGGCAAGCAGTGTCACACGGTCTTTTAAACAAGCCGTTAGACCCTGGTTTAGGTTCTTTCACTGTATGAGGGATATATTCCTCCATTCCGACGTGGATAATTTCGGTTATCGAAGAATAGACAGCCGAAATCCGCGTCATTGAAATAGACATCTTTCCCAGGAAAGGTAGTGAAGAAGTCTCTGAGCCCCTCTCAGTCGGCATGACCGTAATGCCAAATTTTGGGGCCTTGGCGAGTTTTTGCTACCACAGCGAGTTGTGACCGAAACCTAACCTCCACAACAGCGTGATCTGAGTTACCCAGTGGGGACAAGACAGCTGTGCTGTAAGGAAGAGGATGCGTGCCCAGAAAGAGACCTAGCAGGCTACTGGCATGTGATGAGGCAGAGGAAAAAACTAGGTCTCCTCACCTGCTGGGTCAGCCCTTGAGTAAGAGCGAACGCTTCAACTGCAACGACATGCTGCATCGGTCTTGTTTGAGCCCAACCAAAGCTCATTGTGGGCATTGAAATCACCGAGGAGAACAACCTGTGAAGCGGGGTGATTGATGATCAGGAAATCGATCTTGACGGCGAGGTATTCAAGTAGGCCACCCCAGTTATGGTGCGAGGGAGAGCGATAAAGGCAGCAAATAAATTTGGGGGATGTTTTAGAGTTGACGCCAAGCCATAGAATGACCTTCCGGTCTGATTCCAAGAAACATCTCTGGAGCAGGAAAGACTGCTGCGGACAAAAGCCACAACTCCCCCGTTCTTTCTCATATTGAGTGCACCTCGTAATTTGGGATAGTTAATCGGTGCAGACTTCATTGGAAAAGTTCCTATCTACAGCAAACCCTGGAAAGGCTTTGCTTGACCTGATGCCTTCGTGGTGGTTTAAATATAAATAAAAACTTACCTTAACATCTAACTTCGAGGCATTATTGTCACGATAAAATTGGAGATCAATGTTGAGATCCTTGAAGCTTGGCGACTTCACGAAACATTTTACATGATGATGAGAAGCTTGAGCAGTGCTTTTATCCTGATAGAAGCCGATCATGGATATACTATGTCCACTAAACCATGTACCATGGACGTCAATCTAAAAAAAAAAAACACTTTGTAAAAACGTTTTCAAGAATTTGAAAAGTTCCAAAAATGAGGAATGTATTTTGTAATTATGTTGGATGTATATACGTATATACTTTGCAAATATGATCAATACTGTTTGCAAAAATGCACTGCGGAAATCTGGTCAATTGAACAGTTGTTTCGGAAATGTATCATTATCTGGAATAGATTTTTCAACTTTTTAAAGAAACTAAATTCTTCGGTTTGATTAAACCGAATTTTCTGGAACCAGTGTAATTGAAAGTAATACAATTCCTTGAAAACAGCAAACCATTGTTTAATTAAACTATTCGATTAGTTTAGGTAATTTTGTTTATGTAGAAAAGGTACATTTAAACAAATAAACATTTTGATAAAGATAGTTAAAGTATTATTGAAATCGCAGACTCGGCAGGACTCGGTCCTTCATTAGTGAATGATCGGGAATATGCGACAGACGCGGTGCCGGAAACGCGCTTCGAACTGCTCAGTTCAATTTGTGATTTTAGCTGGAAGCCTCATATTCGAAAGTTGTCGTTGTTGGTATACTAGATGTCAAGTGAATCAATTATGGTCATCTAGTGAAACACTCAAGCGTAAGGTGATTAGTGACCCATGACCATCGTTAGAATATTTCTCGTCCCCCTCTGTATAAGGGATTTACTGCTGACGTGGTGGAATGGGAACTTTTCCATCCCACTCGGCATTATTTTCCAAGACTGGAACAGAAAATGCGAAATGAATCAGAAGAAAATGCCAAAAACTTTATCCTCAGTGAAGAAAAAGAACTAAAAGTTATTCATCCGTTTGGAGAATTCTTCACAAAAATAAATATCGACCACTCAAGTGCCAATTACGTCAACATCTTTACGTTAACGACCACAACCACATATTAACTTATTGCAACTGGTTTTTGACAAAATACAGAGAAGATGTACGTTTTCCGTTTAAAATTATTTATGCAGAAGAAAGTCGATTTACCAACTTGGGTATGTTCAATCGGATTAATAAAACGGTCAGAAACAAACTTACGTCTAATGCAACTGAAAAAATTAGTGTTTGTAACATTTAGAAAATCTTTAAAGCAACTGTAAAGTCGCTCGTCTCAATATCGTATTTTTCCGTGTAACTTGACCAAAAATAAATCGATTTACAGGATCCATGTCATTCTAGATCGAAAAATAAAAATTGAAATAAAAATGACTTTATTTCTCAAATATTGACAAATAAGTTGTTGTTGAGTTCAGAATCTCATTTTAGATCAAAATCAATAAAAATTTATAGGGTGTTCCATTTAAAAATCGAAAGTTGGAGTCGTTTCCGGTTAAACCGGAAGTATATCAAGGCAAGTAAAAATGTCAAAAAATGTAAATTCATCTACATGATATGCGAATATTTAAGGACGTGAATCTACATGAAAATTATTGTTAGTTGCTCGTAAACTATGGTCCAAAAAAGTTTTTTACAAAAACTCGGGGTTTTGAAGTTTTAGGAAAAAAATACAAATTAATTAATATCTTCAGAACCACTTCAGATATTTCACTGATATTAGTACGTAGTGGAAGTTGGTAAAGTTACATATTTTTCAATGCAAAAATAATTTTTATCTGTAACGGTGGCGTGCGTACGGGTATTGACTTCGATATTTTTTAAGAAAGAAATGGTACGCCAATGGTTTTTTGCCAAATAAACATTATTTTTAAATCTCCTGTTCAATTTAAAACAAATGATCTCTCTTGAATTGTTTTAATTCGATGCGCCATTTTTGAATAAAAAAATAAAAACCGTTCTATTGTCCGAGAAAACTAATGTAATGATTGAAGAATGCAATTTAGCAATAAACGTCTAGTTGCTCTCGAATATGTCACTGGCTTTTGACATCTGACAAGTTTTTGTTATTCATATCTGTTCGCTGTGACATCTTTTTCATTATTTAGTTTTTACAATCTTGTTAATAATGATGAATTATTCAAATGCAGAAAAGGCGGAAATGCATTACGTATAAGGCCTTGCCGACGGTAATGGTGAGCAAGCCAGACGGATTTATCACCAGAGGTATCCCGATCGTGCTTTGTCAGATAGTCGAACCACTTCTAATATTCATCGTCGTCTTGTTGAAACTGGTTCTGTCCGAAAAGGAACATCTGAAGGTAGACCTCTACGTGTGAGAACACCTGAAATTGAGGAAAACAGTGCTCCACCAAGCCGAAGAACATCCTGAAACGAGTACGTGGAAGATCGCTAGATACTTAAATATTTGCCATCAAATTGTTAGGAGAATTTTAGTGGATTTTTCGTTATATCCTTACCATATTTTAAGAGTACAGGCATTACCTCCCATTGATTTTCCAATGCGTGTGACCTTTTGTCAGTGGTATCTTTAAAAAATTATACAAATCCGCAATTTGAATCAGTGATTCTGTTTACGGCCGAAGCTAATTTTTCTCGAAATGCCATTCAGAATTTCCACAACAATAGCGATTCGTAATTATTTACAAACTGTTTATCCAAATCGTTGGATTGGCCGCGGTGGGCCCCAAGAATGGCCACCAAGGTCCCCAGACCTCAATAGTCTGGATTTCTTTTTGTGGGGCTATCTTAAGACACTAGTGTACAAATGTCCTATTAACACTGTGTGTGATAGAATAAAAACAGTGCGCAATTCCATGAGAATGAGAGCGGAAGTATGCAAACTAAGTGAAGGGAGCCATTTTCAACAATTTTTGTGATAATTTCGTTGGTTTTAATGTTATGTTTACGTTGTCAGTTGTTGTTATTCAGTACCCCTAATGAGTTTAATTTTTCCAATTAGATTGATAATAATTTTGCAAGTTATTTACTCCAAAATGGCGCGTCAAAGGAAAACAATTCAAAAGAGATCATTTATTTTAAATTGAACGGTGAATTCAAAAATAATTTTTATAAAATATCGGACGCATACATACTAAGTGAAGGGGGCCATTTTCAACAATTTTGGTAATTATTTTGTTGGTTTTAATGTTAAGTTTATGTTGTCAGTTGTTGTTGTTCATTACAAAATATCGAAGTCAATACCCGTACGCATGCCACTGTTAAAGCTAAAAATTATTTTTGCATTGAAAAATATGCAACTTTATTAACTTTCACTACGTACTAAATATCAGTGAAATATCTGAAGCGGTTCTGAAAATATTAATTAATTTCCATTTTTTTTTTTTTTAAACTTCAACACCCCGAGTTTTTGTAAGGAAACATTTTTGGACCATAGTTTATAAAGCAAACTATAATTAATTTTTCATCTAGATTCACACCCTTAAATATTTGCATATCATCAAGAAACACCCTGTATAATACGCAACACCCAAATTTCGTTTTTCTATCTTCAATAATAAAAAAGTTATATGGGTGAGCCACCTTGGAGAATCACCCGGTGTATATGAACATGAAAGGCATTTATACCAAACATGTGCTTAACATAGGCTTGACGTGCTTTTCTTTTATATTGTATATAGGGTCTGGAAGTCGAATAAGCCTAATTAAATGTTTAATTGGTTTGGTTAAATTTTTTTCTCAGTGTGGTGAAAATATGTGAAGATATGTTTGTAGCAATGGTAATGCATCTTGCATATTGGAATAGGTGTTAGATGTGGTTCAATAAGGATTTTATGAGATGTTAATACCCCAGTGTCCATTGTAGCGAGGTTCGAAGCGCTCTGTATTATAGTAGGTATGTCGGTTAGGAAATCTACATGAGAAAGAAAACTGTCCAACTTTGTACAAAGCCGTGTAAGCCCGGCTAGATAAAATTCCTCAAAGCGTCTAAAACCCTGTATAAAGTACACTTTTCATCTTGTTCGCAATTCTCGACGATTGAATCTTCCTATCGGTTTATGGTAATAATCTCGCCAACTGAGGCGGATCCTTCGCAGAGAACTATTAATGAATTCACTTATGGGAAGGCAATAAAAGGCGTCGAACATCGTTAGAATAAGTCTACTCTATCGCTTTTGGCAATCCGGGGACATTTTGCTAAGGCGCTAGTTCGAATATTAGCCAAAATATTCATGCTCGACAGTTTGGTCATTGCGTTTCTTACAATCATTTGAAATGGTTGAAACTATAGATTACAGTGAAGCAGATACGTACCCAGACGAAGGGTAAGGGGGGCAGCTGCCTCCCTTTTTCCTATTTCGGCAAAAATTGAATCGAGGGATCATTCTTTACAAGAATTTAATTCTTCATTCAGAGTTCTCCACAAGCTGAATCAATATCTACATATTAGATGAGAAATTACTAGGAGTGGTTGAAATCTATGTTAGATATTAATTTTTTTTTGCTAAACGCACAATATTTGTTACGTGGGTGAATTTACAGAAATTCGGTAACTTTTAGACACATTTTGTTTACTATAGTTTTTAAGTCAAATGTCTACAGTCTCTTTTATGAGTAGATTTTGAGATATTTCGATTTTTCTGAAATCACCGCAAGAGTACTGACGAAAGTAACATAGGACTGACAAAATATACAGTGTCATAGAAACATATGGAATGATTTATTGTAACTTTGTACATATATCTTCGAATCTATTAACTGCACGTCTTATAATAATAGTAACTATACTAAGTGACATATAATCCGAACACCCAGTAAAATGGTTTTATTTTAATAAAATTTGGTGAATGTATTTATCTTACTGTAAATACAAGTGAACAAATTTTCAGCCTTATCAGTTGGACATTCCGGTTTTTATACTGCTTTTTTTAATTCACTAACGCTCTAAAAATGAATATTTCAGCCGCAGTAAAGAATCAACGTTGGCGGATTTTGGTTCTTGACATCCTTTACGATCGGTTACGATGCCTAGAGTACGGAGACCTGTACGATTTCGTCAACTTAGTGAGTTTGATAGGGGCCGTATAGTGGGACTTCGGGAAGCTGGACTTTCTTTTCGGGCAATTGCAGTTAGAGTGCAAAGAAGTGTAGACACTGTGGCTAGGTGTTGTCAGGCATGGGACCGTT